GTTTCATTGCTGAAAAACATCTCTCAATGCTTGCTGTAGCGACAGGTAAAACCAAGGCGAGCTTCAATAAGCGATAGAAGGGAAGGGAAAGGGTAATTTTAAGGGAGTATATTTAATTTTTGGGAATTTAGACAACTGGGCCAATTTTGAATTGGGTCTTTATCCTATTTATTTGGTTTGGGCCAATTGAATATATATATATATATATATATATATATATATATATATATATATATATATATATATATATATATATATATATATATATATATATCAAAGGATTTTTATTAAAGTGAACAAAGTTACAATACGTTTGGGGAGGGCAAGACCTAGCCCCAAAGGTGTAAAGGAAGAACGGAGGATAATGTGTTTAACGATTACAAACTGGTAAAATTAAACAAAGGATTCCAGCAGACGTCTTCCATTAAGCCAAAAGAAATCTCCTCTCCAGAGTGCATTGTTTTGATTTGGTCCCTTGATTAGCCATTTTTTCCTCCTATTTATCCAGCACCACCTTTGGATAAGAGAGGTTACAGTTTTGATCAAGCCATGAATGTTGTTTTGCCTATCTTCATGGAGGGCCGAGGTGTGATTCTTCCAAAGGGTCCATGCAATAAAACCGGGTACCACTGCACGTAGGTTATATATAAAACCTCCTATATATATATATTGCACGTATGCTATATATATATATATATATATATATATATATATATATATATATATATTCCACAGACCAATCCGGAGAAGGTGGCAATTCTTTCCGTCCAATCGAAGGTGGTATCGGTACATCACGTTCATTCGGAGATGTCGTTCGTAGACGTCGTGTATCAATTGCACTACGCGATGATGCTATAGACAACCCTGTTAGTGATAGTGATTCAGAAGATAGAAAATCTGGTGGGGATGAGATAGAAAGAGGTTGGATTGAACAAACACATAATGATGTCGTGAGTGATTGCAAGTGTTACACACCCGATATTGCAGTGCAAGAGAATATGCTTTTTCCAAGTTTTGAATCTTTGGAAGATGCAATCACAAAAGATTGCATAAAGGATCTTAAAGTATGGACCCTTGAGTACAAACGACAACGCTCTTGGGCTTGTCGATGTTGGTACCATGAGGGGAACCCTCGATGTTATTGGCGTGCACAGACATCGAAGGGGAAGACATCGGACCAGTGACTATTAAAGAGTTGTCATCAACGACACACATGTCGTCTTGATTACTCCCACGGAGGTGATGACCGCAACATCACAAGCCAATTCATTGCCCGGATGATTGTCGGGAAATTGCGTGTCGATCTAGAGTATAAAGTGAAGTTAATTTGGCATGAGGTCACTGAAGTATACAAGGTCCCGATGTCGTACAAAAAATGTTGCCTCGCTAGGCTTATCGCCTCAGAGACATTATACGGAAGTTGGAAGGATTCATATATAGCAAGTCCCAATTTTGCTACAAGCTTTGCTTTCTTCTTATCCTGGAACTGTGGTGGATTTAGTATGCACGTCGCCACCGACAAACTTCAATGCCGAACCTGTAATAGGAGTGAATTTTAAGTATGAATTTTTGGCTTTTCCAGTAGCTATCAATGGGTTGCAACACTGTTTACATGTAGTGACCGTTGATGGAAAACATTTGTACGGAAAGTATAAGGGCCATCTACTACTTGCAGTTGCGTTGAATGGAAATCGTGAGATATTTCCACTCGCATATGCTGTCGTTGATGGGGAAACTATTGATAGTTGGTCATGGTTTCTCCGATTGGTAGCTCAAAAAATTATAATTGGAACAAGAGTTTGTGTTATTTCTAACAGGCACGCCGGTATCATCAACGCCTATCGTGATGTGGAAGAGCTTTAGACAGGGAATATAATAAAGCGTTTTTGTCTACGTCATGTCCGTAGTAACTTTAATTCAAAGTTTCACAATAAGAAAGTCAAGGACCTCATGTAGTTGGCAGGGATACTCCGAGTGTTCAGGAGTTCCAAAAAAATATGCAGCAAATTCGGGATCAGAGTTAACCAGCATATCAATATCTTGCTGAGATTCCGCAGGAGTTGTGGACACTAGCATTCGACGGTGGTAGTCGATGTGGGATAATTACCATGAATAGTTTAGAGAGCTTCAATAATATGCTAAAAGGTTGTCATATGCTACCGGTGAGTGCTATCACATGATGTCGTACAATAAACTCGTTGATTCATTTGAGTCACGACGCAGGTCATGTTTTGATTGGCAACGAAAAAATCTATGATTTACTCCGAAGATTTCAAAGATCTCTGAAACGAGGGAAAAAGATAAACAAATGTTTCAAGCGGTGCATTATGGCGGAAATCAATACATTGTCTCTAGGGCTTCCTTCTCTAACCCAAGGCATATGTATAGCTTCGTGATCGACTTAGGGAATAAGTTGTGTACTTGTGGACAATGGCAAGGAGACGGGATTCCCTACTTGCATTTACACTCTTTGTTCCATTCTTTCAGACAACGTGCGGATGATTGTGTCTCTCACCTGTATAGCTTGCAACGGTATCAGATGTGCTACGCTGGTCATATTACACCTGTGATATTCCCAAATAATTTTAATTATGCAGAATATCCGATATTGCCGCCAATAAGACTAGAAGAAGAAATATCGCGTTCTGGGCGTCGCAAGCAAAAACTCTATCGGGGAGAAATGGGATGAGATTTACGAAGGAAGGATCAAAGTGCTACCAACTACGCATGCTACATGTAATCGTTTTTTTTTTTCATCGTAATATTTAGTGTTTGTTGTTTTTAAATATTCAGTGTATATTGTTTTTAAATGTTCAGTTTATGTTGTTTTTTTAAATATTCAGTGTATGTTTTTTTTAATATTCAATGTATGTTGTTTTTAAATATTCTGTGTATTTTTTTTAAATATAAAGTGTATGTTGTTTTTTGAAATTTTTAGTACATGTTATTTTCAATATTCTGTGTATAATAAACTTAAAATTTTTCTCATATTTTAAATAAATACACAACCCATCAAATAAGTATTCATTTTTATTGAATCATTTAAAAAATTGGTTAATGGAGGGGATGAAACGGATATTGAACAAATGTGAGTTCAACAAACACAATTATTCATTTGGAAAAAGTGATGGTATGTAGCGTATAGCTAAATTAATAATTGAATTAAGATGTGTTCTGCGAACACATACTCATTTAGAACAAATGTGAGTTCAACAAACATAGTTATTTATTTAGAAAAAGTGATGGGTTGCAGCGTATAGTGATGGATTGTGAGTAAACTTCATAATTGAACTAATATGTGTTCAGCGAACACGTATTAAATGGATAGGAATCTTAAACTAAAAATCTTCACTGATTGGTAATTGCTCATAAAATCTTTACATTTTTTGTCAGATTTTGGACTTAGATTTCAATTTATACCCAAACTCCAAAACCCATATTTTATATAAAAATTTTTTTAAAATCTATTGATTTTTGAGTACCATTTAATTTAGAAAGATATTTTAAAATCTGAAAAAAATACATCTAGATTTTAAATTACTTTTTTAAATATGAATTGAATACCCATAAATTTTTGAAATTAAAAAAATACTACAGAATCCAGATGGAATACACCTCCCTCACTTTCACACATTTAAAAATATATGTATATTTATACTTTGTACTAATATTTCACCCGTGAATTGTACGGGAATATATTTGCTTTACAATTTGAAAAGAACATAAAAAACATAAATTATGTTTGTTAAACTTTAAAATGAATAATATCTAAAAATATAATTTTTTAGTATGACCGATATATGATATCCTTTAACAAATTTTTTTAATGATATAATAAGTTATTTAAATGAATTGTTTATATTTTTTCTTCGACAATAAGGATAGAATGATGTCGGTGGTAATACAATCATAGATAATGACTATTTTTCCGTGATCGTTTATATGTCTTTCCTGGATATAAATGTTTTTTCACACAATTCCTCTCTCGTTTTTTGGTTTGAAAACAACACTTTGACAAAAAATGACTAATATATTCAAATAAAATTGTTAAAATATACTTCATTCATTTTGTATTGATATAATAAATTATTTTTTTTCTTCGACATTAAAGATATAATTAGAAAGTCAAATTACAAAAATAACTCTAGTAGAAATTAAAATAGAAATTGATTTACCAAACAAAAACAGTTTCTGTCCCCTAATAAAATTTCCAATTATTTGTATATCACGAAAACTTTGTTACTTATATGTTTTAAATGATTATTTGTTAGGGAAAATAACTAAAATAGGAACAAAACATAAAAATATTCTAAAATAAAACTTCCATATTTTTATTTAACGAACGGGAAACCGGAGCACCCCGGGTCATCCCATGACAATATGACATTGGAACCCAATGTCATGGGAACCCCACCCAAAACACCAAGGTTCCCATGACATTGGGTTCCAATGTCATGGGAACCCCACCTTTTCTAAAATAATACGTTCTACCCCATATTATTTAACTACTTTGTATATAAATTGTACTCGTATTTTTATTTTTAAATCATTTTTAAGAGTAGTAAATTAATGTTTTTCTAATTTTTTTGGTATTTTTGGAGATGGCGGAGACGCCGTGGCGCAGCTAAGAAGAATCATGCTCGTACTCACCGCCTTCCCTCCATTTGTGCAACAGTCAGGGGCTGTTTGGCAACTTCTGAATAGGTAAGTGCTGAACTAGTAAGAGGTCTGAACCATTAAGTGCTGAAGCAGTAAGAGGTCTGAACCATTAAGAGCTAGTATATTGCTTAACTATTCAGAGGCAAATGTCTGATCATTTCAGTTAGGAGGTTTTAAGCATTCACACTCTGTATAATACTTAACCATTCAGAGCCAAATGTCTTAATCATTCAGACATCTGAACCATTAAGAGGCTGAAACAAACCAGAACCAACCATTATTGAGAGAGGCTGAAACAAAGCCCCGAATCTGGTTTCTCTGCGGAAATGCAGAGTGACCCAACGAGCTCAGTCCCACCGGATCAAGACGCCGGCGCCGATGACCGCGAATCCATCCATCTCCTGCCGCCCGATGATGGTGATGGGAAAACCACGAGCATTGAAATCGAGGCCGTAGATTCGCCCGAAAAGCTCCCGCCGCCGTTCTCCTGGAGAAAGCTATGGGAATCTGGAGGGCGACGTCCAAGCCGGCGCGATTGCGGGCTACTCTCTCCTCTGGCTCCTCATGTGGTCCACAGTCATGGGCCTGCAGATCCAGCTCTTGTCCCTCCGCCTCGGCGTTGCCACCGGCCGCCACTTGGCTGAACTCTGCCGGGAAGAGTACCCCCAATGGGCCTCCGTTGCGCTCTGGTTCATGGCGGAGGTGGCCTTAATTGGGGCGGATATACAAGAAGTGATCGGTAGCTCTATTGCCATCAATATTCTCACTAATGGCTCTGTTCCTCTATGGGGTGGAGTCCTAATCACTGCTTTTGATTGGTAAAATCTCTCAATCTCCTTCATAGCTCTTATATGCCTCAAATTTGTTGAGTTCACTTTCTAAATGCTTATATCGATTTTGTTCAAGTGGGAGTAGATTTAGCAAATTGAGTGAGAGATGTGGATTTTGTCTCACCCTATAGCGCAAAAAAAAACCCCCAAAATGTTTTTTGAAATGTTGTGCTTGATGTGACCACTTCATTCCTCTTATGGATATGTCAAGAATCATGGTACAAGAAAATGGTTGACAAAACATTCCATTAAGTTGATGTTTCCTTGTTTTTGGACAGTTTTATATTCTTGTTTCTTGAAAACTATGGAGTAAGGAAGCTCGAAGCATTTTTTGCAGTTTTGATCGCAACGATGGCATTATCCTTTGCATGGATGTTCCTAGACACAAAGCCAAGTGGGGAGGAACTGATGTTAGGTCTCCTTATACCAAGGCTTAGCCCAAACACAATTCAGAAGGCGGTTGGGGTTGTTGGGTGTGTGATAACACCTCACAACGTGTTCCTATATTCTGCGTTGGTCCAGTCAAGGAGAATCGACCCAAAGAAGATTGGGAAGGTGCAAGAGGCCATCAACTATTACACCATTGAATCATCCACAGCTGTTCTTGTGTCATTCACACTCAACTTGGCTGTGACGACCATTTTTGCCAAGGGATTCTATGGAACTTCTCAAGCAGAGAGTATAGGGCTCTTGAACGCAGGGCAGTACCTTCAAGAGAGATATGGTGGTGGGTCGTTCCCGATTTTGTACATATGGGGAGTTGGTCTTCTGGCGGCTGGCCAGAGTAGCACCATGACCGGTACATATGCTGGACAGTTTATAATGGAAGGCTTTCTCAACCTGAGGATGAAGAAATGGGTTAGATCAATGATAACTAGAAGTTGTGCCATTGTCCCAACCATAGTTGTTGCTGTTGTTTTCAATAGGTCTCAAGATTCGTTGGATTCTCTAAATGAATGGCTTAATGTGGTTCAAGGCATGCAAATCCCATTCGCGATCATACCTCTTTTGACGTTGGTTTCAGATGAGCGTACCATGGGAGTATTCAGAATCGGAACGACCATAGAGGTAAAACAATATTCTACACATATGACTAAAACACAACTTATGTGATTACAAATGCAATTGTTAAAACTCACAAGACTTGGGGCTTGTTCTCTTTGCCTGATATATTTGGTTCTGATCTGATTGGAATAAGTTCTGATATGATATGATATGATTGTAGTTATATTTAAAGTTGTTTCTGATCTGGTCTGGGCTAATTTCATCTGATTCGAATAAGAATAAGTTGAAGAGAACAAGCTCTTAAAAGTAGGAAATGGTCTTGACTACCGCCCACCGCTTTTAACAACATTGGGTAAAGCATATTTTCTTGATGTTGTCCTTTACTTTTTATACCATTCTTGAGTGTTTGATGTGCTATGCAGAGGATTGTTTGGAGCATTGCAGCCATGGTAATCCTGATTAATGGATATGTTATGCTCAACTTCTTCTTCTCTCATGTTCATGGCCTTTTTCTTGGTTCTGCGGTCTGTATGGTAGCCCTGGGATACGCAGCCTTCATCTCATATCTCGTATCGCACCATGCTGACTTCAAGTGGATTTTCACACTTACAAGGCTAGAAGTTGAGCCAACAATCTCCCAATTTAGTTTGGGAAGATTTGACCCTAGCAGAGCTGTTAAATGACTGAGGAACATTGTTGATATGGAAGGCCAATATTTTTTTTAAGAGAGGAAGAGAATCTCACAGTGATACTTGATAGAATGATGATACTTCATACTATTACTTGTAGATTATAGAAGTATACTTTGTCACTCGAAAAACTTTATATTGGACCCCATATGTGGAACATAAACAAAATTCGAGGGCAAATGTGGTGTCTTGCAAACGAGCATATATATGTACTGAGCTGTTTCAATGTGTTTTTGCTATTAAAAAAACTTCTGAAATGGTGTATAATTGATTAGGTAAAACTACAAATAGATATGAAAGAGTTACTTTTAAGAAAAATAAAACTATACACATTGCATTTTGCATTCGTGAAAACACTTGGGAAATTCAAATTTAACCGACGCACATAGCGTGTTCTTGATTCTCTTAGAAGTTCGTTTTACCATATGGTGTGAGTCTTGGGGTTTTTCACCCGCTTCCGTTTCATCTAAATCTTTTTTGGTTTTTTTGACCTTGAATTCACCTCACCTTAATATCTCTGATTTTTCTATCTGGACCATCGCAATTCCATTTGGCCGCAACTTGCAATGGAGTTGTCGTCTTTATCATTGCTCCGCTGCTAGATGTGATTGCTATGCAGAGATTTTTGGAATTTGCAGATCAACCTTAAACATCAGTAGTCGATTACGGCAGAGGATGAGGGTACTTGTCCAGATCTTGCCGATGAAATACTTGTGGGGGAACGATATTAAGGGGCTGTTTGGCAACTTCTGAATAGGTAAGTGCTGAACCAGTAAGAGATCTGAACCATTAAGTGCTGAACCAGTAAGAGGTCTGAACCATTAAGAGCTAGTATATTGCTTAATTATTCAGAGGCAAATGTCTGATCAATTCAGATAGGAGGTCTTAACCATTCAGACTATGTATAATACTTAACCATTCAGAGGCAAATCTCATAACCGTTCAGACATCTGAACCATTAAGAGGCTGAAACAAACAGTCTGAACCATCAAGTGCTGAACCATTCAGACATCTGAACCATTAAGAGGCTGAAACAAACAGCCCCTAAATTTAGCGACGGGAGATGGATAAGAGATAGAGCATAAACAGGACTGGATATAGAAATTTTGGAGGGGTAAAATGGATAATTAAGACAATTGAGACATACTAAAAAAGAAAAGTGGACAAAAACACTGGGACAAAGGGAGCAACAATCATCTCTGGCAACAATTTTAACATTTAACTTTAATGTTCTTATGTGATACGGATGGTAGATTAGTTATATTATTTATTGATTAGTAGTCATTTAATATTCAATAGTTAATCTTGTTTAGGGCTTTAGTATGGGCTCAAGCCTTTTGTAATCAATTTCCCCCACCCCTCGTCTCTATATATTGTAATCAATCCTTTTTACCATAATCAATCAATAAAGAATAATCAAGAATTTTTTATTCTCTCGTCTCTCTTTTCTTAGAGTTTGGAAACGCTCGAAGTTTTCTTCTCTCTTTGTCCTAGTCTGTTGGTGAACATCACCAGAGCCGCATGAAAAATATCTACGGCTTCCGTCATCTCTATCTGCTACCGTGAAAATCACCACAGCGGCAACCCATATTCCTGCTGCTTATCACGACGAAGGAGCACCGCCGCATCCACAAATTTTTCTACCGCTGCAATCTTGGATTCTGTGTTCTTTGAGGTCCGGCATAGTGATTTGAGAGATCCGATTGGAGGGATTTGTTTGGTGCGGCCCACTACTTAGTGCATAAGGGAGTTTTTTTTTTTCAACCAAAAAAAAAAATCTTCACTCAGCCCCTTGAGTATTGTTTTTGCCTACTATTTTCAGAAAGTTACTCGCGGGTGACGCGAGTTTTGTCGAAATAACTTTCAGGTCCCTCTATTTTCAAAAAGACAATCGAGGTTCTTATATTTTGTTGTAATGATTGGAAGGGAACATTTCACCCAATACATCATCAAGTGTTAATAAATGTATTTTTTTCTTATTTTGCCATTACCTTGTTTTTTAAAAAAAAAAAAATTTTATTTCATTTGTTTTAATATAATACAAACAGTTTTGAATTTTTATATGATTTTATAGAAGAAATTCTAAAATAATACTTTAAAAATAGTAATAAAATGAAAGAAAAACAAAGAAATAAAAAAAGGAGCGACCTAAGATTTATTACCTTAAAACATTTAGAAAAGAATAGGAAAAAATACATTTATTAACGTTTATAGATGAAATATTGAATGAAATGTCCCCTTCCAGTCATTACAACAAAATGTAAGGATCTCTGCTGTCTTCTTTAAAATAGAGGGACCTGAGAGCTATTTCAACAAAACTCGCGTCACCCGTGAGTAATTTTCTACACTATTTTGGTTGTCAAAATTGCATCACAAATGGCTAGACACAATCGTGGATCCAATAGTTGCTCCAGTCTGTTCAGGTAATTTGGATAATTTTAGAGCATTGTTGTGATATTTTTGTGTGGTGGTGTTAATTTTGATAATGGACTTTGCGTTGGACGGGCTTCTTGGTTTGCTAGAGGAGGTTCTTTATGGAGAAATGGCGTATGATGAAGGGGTGTGTTTGATTTTTGATCACGTGTATGAAATTATTATGAAGCTCAGGTCGATCCATAATTTTAAAGGTCAGATTGATTATGATGCGCTCGACATAGAAATTTTTTGCTCGGTACAGGATTTGGTTCGTGGACCTCCAATTGTGCCAAGTCAAATTCCCTTTGAGTTACAAATTATCAGAACACACATTATGGGTATTATACGGAAAGTGACAGGTGCACCTTCTCCACCAATGTTGCCCCCAAGATGTGATGGAACCAAACCCATGCAGTGGTTAGCTACGGTATGTGAGTATTTCCAGTTTTTTGAAGTCCCATTGGTTGATCGTTTGAACCGTGTGACATCAATGCTAGAGGGCTCTGCCTTGGCTTGGTTTAATTGGCGTATGCGTGACGGCTTAATTGATGGGTGGGGATGATTTTGTTGACAAGTTCAAGACTCGATTTGCTCCGTTACATGCTTTGGATTACATTTCTTTTGAGAAGACATCAGAGACACATTTGTCCACACGATGGAAGATGTCACCACACTCCCCGCCCCGACTATGGAAGACATACACGAGTCAAAAGAATCAAGTGCCAGGTCTCACATCAAAGAGGACGATTATAACGGGTCTAGCATCATTGGCGATGATGGTCGTGCTCTTGATGAAGATTATGGTGGTAATATTCAAAGTGATGAGCCATCAAACAAATCAGATTCTACACCTCGTAAATTACATATACCACTAAATGCCCTAATCGAGGTAGAAATGGCAACATATGATGTTCTAGAAAGTGTCGACAAGGTGGACGGTGAAAATTGTAACCAAGCGGCCCACTTCATTTCTTTGGATACCATCAAGTTGTTTGATCTTGTCAAGTCTGAGCACCAGGTTTCAAAGAAAATGATTCGACGAAAGTTTGGTCTTCACTTTTATTTATGTCGATATACTTCACCCGAGAAGCTTCTTGAAGATTGGTCAACAAATGAATGTCTCTTCTGGTTCGTCACATTCTCACATATCCAAAAGCATGAGTGGGATCCTCCAACTTGAGGACAAGGTGATTTTTAAGGAAGTGAGAATGATACGGATAGTAGATTAGTTATATTATTTATTAATTAGTAGTCATTTAATATTCAATAGTTAATCTTGTTTAGGGTTTTAGTATGGGCTCGAGCCCATTAGGTTAATCGGGGTGTTCCCCCACTCCTCTCGTCTCTATATATTGTAATCAATCCTTTTTACCATAATCAATCAATAAAGAATAATCAAGAGTTCTTTTATTCTCTCGTCTCTCTTTTCTTGGAGCTCGGAAATGCTCGAAGTTTTCCTTCTCTCTTTGCCTCCCCTTTCTTGGAGCACGAAGACACTCGAAGTTTAACTTTAATGTTCTTATGATAGTACTCAATGGTAATGTTAATTTTAGCATTTCCGAAATTAATCTTTACCATCAAAAAATATATAAAAATCTAACAGAAAGCATTCTACCTAAGATTGCGAATGAGCACATTCAGGCCATTTTCTCCTCAATTTATTCGTACTTATTACTAATTTTTATTGAAATAAATCAGACCAGATCGAAAACATCTTTAAGTATAATTACATTCATATCCGACCATATCAGAACTTATCCCAATCAGATTAGAACCAAACAAATAAGGTGAAAAGAACATGGCCTTACACTGAACACATTCAGAACAGGTACAATGCACAAGCAGTACAATAAAGCAAATCAAGAGTTAGCCTAAATCAATGATCAGCAACTACTTCAAAAAGATCACTTGCATATAGCGAACCAATGAAGTAGAACAGAATAGAGAGTTGTTCACCATTGTCTGATAAATAGTGACCATAGGGAACAGAGGAGTGACATGTCACAGAAAAAAATACTACCAAGTACTGTATTGTGTAAACCATAGGGATCTTATTAATCACCTGTGCTAGGAAACAATTATTGTGTGTATCAGATTAGACCACATTCACAGCACAAGATGGTTCTCGTAAAGCTACTCCAAAAACCAATGTTCTAAAAATTGCTAGGTTCTGTGCAAACTTGATGTTAAGAGGCCCACGAGACACCTGGTCTAGACAATTTTTTTTGAATCAAAGCTAAAAACTTGATGCTAAATCGTACATGATTTGTCTGAACAAACAATATAACGAAACTTCTTAAAGTGCCATAAGAAGCCGCGGCCAAAGGGCAGCCACTAGGGTAAATGCATGTAGATTGGTATCAGATTAAACTGAAAAAAAAAGCAGAAAAAGAACTGTGTCACATTTCGAAGTCCCATGTGCTCTCGGCACTCAGCTTTGGCATTTTATGATCGTCTGCCAGATTAAGAGATGCCAAAACCTGAAGACAAAAGAGTATATATGAGTGAGTGAAGGGTCATCTTCCACAACTTTAAATGCTTCGTGAGCCATCAAACAAGTACTATACTACTATGTGCTCTATAATACAATTAGAATGTCTTAAAGTGACGTATGGCAGATCATAATAAAATGTAATGTAGCCCAATATGAGAATGTTTTTTTCTATAAATTTACATTACACATGCATTTCATCATACCTAGCTTCTTTGCTCAACACAATAACTAACGCTCAATAAAAAACAGCACTTCAGTAGAAATTTTGTATGTTTGGTCAAAACATTATGGATATAATTTGATTGATAGAATTTGAAAATGAATTCTCTATTTTCCTATGTTTTCAGGCAGAACAGTTCTTTGAAATTTCTTTGGAAAGTTACTTTCTCTGTTTCTCCGTTGAAAAGGGCAAGGCTCTGTCTAGTATACCTTTTCCAACAACATTTTTGTCCCAACAGCTATAGTAACCCTCTAACAGCTTCAAATTGGAGCTATTGGGTGGTTACTATAGGGTTTGGTGAATCCTTTCCCTTCCCAAATATCCCTTACCTCTAAAAGGTACCTACCTTTTCAAAACAACCTACCTTTTATTCTAAAAAAAACATTAGAAATAATTGTACATACTAAACGCAATAGCTTAAACAGCCTCCCCAGACCCTACTTTTGTGGGATTCAGCTGGGTTGTTTTTTAAGTGCAATAGCTTAAACAAACACCCAAAATCCAAATTTTCTTTTCAAAAAACTACAAACAGCTCAAACAAATGACCCTGAAGTCTTTTTTGTTAATTGGTTTTATAATGCTTTTGTAGGTTAAATTGTATTTTATGAATAGAATAACTTATTTTCTAGGAAACATTGTCCACATCAAATTATATTCATGCAATGAGATGGAGTCAAGCATTCAATTTGGTCCTAAACTGATAATTCAATAATTTCAATATTCCCATTATGCATCAATCTTAGTTTTAAAAAGCGAGAGGCGCACTTAGGTGATTTGGGTTCCAAACCCTGAGGCGCGAGGCGCGTCTCATGGAATTGAGGCGTACCTCTTTGATCACAAATCTGTCTTGATGTATTTACCAAAAAAGTATGGGGTATGTTAGAATTAGCATTGGTATCTAATTAAAGAGGTATCTAATTAAAGAGTCTTACATTATTTATAATAATTAAATATTTGAACCAGAGAAACTTAGATATGAACTTCTACTAGTCCAGTACAAAATTTCTAATCATACTGCCAGGTACTACTTGCATTTATAGTTTATACGCTTGACTGCCAGAGTGAACTCTCTTGTACTGAAATTCATTGCGTAATACTCACTCCCAAATTGATGTTACTTAGTCAAAATCTAGAATATGTACGGTGGAAAAAAAGTACATGATGCCTAAGAAGTAAATAAAGTCTGCAGTGGGAAGTGGGAAGTCTGTTATGCAGAAACTACTTAAGCTTCGTATAATAGAACTAAGTAAAAGGATTAACAAGTGTTGTAAAATGTAAACTACTTTAAGAGATTTGAAAGAAAAGAATTGCCATTAGGAGAATTAACCAACACTATTACCTGCAAGCCTGAGAAAAATATAACTAATGCATTTGAAAAATGGAAAATTGAAAACACACCTAGCAGACACTAAAGCAGGACAGTGCTTAAGTTAAATTACCTTAAAACAGCCATTCGACTTGGAATTCCTTGACCATTCAAGGGTCACGTTCTTGCTGGACGTCTCGTACATAGCCTTCAGCACATCATCGCCATTAACTCTCTTCGAAATTGAAAAATCCCATGCGTTCTTGGTGAAATCGTAGCTCGGTTCAATTGTTGTTAGTCCATTGTGCAGAAAAGTATACTTGAGCTTGCAATTCCGGGAGCCAATTGTGTGGTTTGCTGAAACCTTGTTTTCCGAATCCAAAACTAAAGTCCCGTCCAGAACTGTCCGGCTATCTCCCTTGAAGTGTACGTAGTTCAATTTCAACTGCTTCTCCAAAACCCTAACCGTATTCATGAATTGAAACCTAAGGTCCTGGAAAAATTAACCAATAAAGATTCCCGAATTCAATGTGAATGTTAGCTAGGAGAAGGATATGGTGGATAATTGGAGAGTACCTTTTTGGGGACGTTGTAATCGACGATGAAAGAGCCAGGTTTTTCGACTGCAAGAGCTAAACCGTTTAGGGAGGGGCCATTGACGAGGGTGGCATCGGTCATAGAAGCTCGGAGATTTAGGTCGCCGGCTCTGACGGAGACGGTGGAGGTGGCCGTCATTTTGTCCAGTTCATACCGGGCTTTCAGCGTTCCCTTCATTTTTCTCCCTTAGACGCAAAAACAGGGAACTCGACGGTCGATACTCCAACCTCTGCGCATTTATAGACTCAATGCATTTTAGATATTAGGGAGTAGTATTGACATTTTAGAGATATTTCTTAATAATCTAGATTAGTTCCAAAAACACTAAAGTGTTATGAAATTATTGATTGTTCATTTATTTAATTAATCAGGCCTAATTTCTAGAATAGTAGATTAAGACACTCATTGATGAGTATCAATTTAGTACAGTCCTTCCCACTTGTATTTGTAATCATACTAAGCCTCTCCACTATAAATAGAGGCTTAATCCCTCCATTGTAATCACCATTAAGAATAAGAAGAAGAGTGAAGAGTTAAAAAAGAGAAGAAATCAGAAATATATTATATCTATTCTCATAATCTTTGAGTAGTTTTTCTCTCATTTTATAACACGTTATAAGCACGAATTTGCTCAAAATCTCAGAATCCTTGTTCTTCTCAGAAGGTATATTTATTTTATTTTCTTCATGAACAAATTAAAATATTTTCTTAAAAACTATGAGAAGTATGCTCTGTGATTGCCCAAAGTTGGGATCCTTCACATCAGAAACTTATAGTTATAAAATTAAAATTAGATAATTAAAAGGAAGAAGTTTCCTCATAATAATAAAAAAAATCATTTTTTTATAAACTAAAAACAAAGAGTTGATTTAATACGAATTATTTAAGATTAAAAAAAATTAATTTTAAAATAAAGACTGTTCTTGAAAGAAAAAAAATCATTAAAATCAAGATATGATGAACTTACCTGCTACTCTTGAATTCTTCTTGTACACATCTTTGATAGAAATAGATAATCTCACTTTATAATATTATTTTTTTTATCCTTTTCTCTCGTTATAAGATTTTTTTTTTTCAAATTTGGGTTTAAGAATGAAGATGAAAATATGGTATGATATAGCATGAATAAAGGTATAAGGAATCATATACAAAGTAAAGCATGTCACTATGGGAGAAAATATTAATATAGTACTCCGTATGTGGTGAAGCAGACAACTTTTAACTTGTTGTGTTTTATATTCTTCTATTCATTAGTTCTCAGAAAGGAATCAAATTTAAATTTGTGGTGAGGAGAGATTTAAAAAAAAAACATTTTTTTTTGCTGACATAGTAGACGTACAAGTGTACAACACCTTTTATTTTGATTAATATGCTTGTCTCTTTTACTTGATTGATTTAATAAAGGAATCATCTACTCCGTATATACTCTGGATTTCAAACATTGCATTTTTTAAAATTATGTATTATTTTTTTTAAAAAAAAAGGGAAAATTTCTTGGTTCAATTAAATTTTCATACGTACAACATTAGTTATAATTTTTTTTTTTTTAAATTTATAATGTTGTAGTTATTCCATGGCCAACATCACCAAAAGAGAATTCGACATTCTTGATTTATCCAGTCAAAGGTACTTGGAATGGAGGGTTGATGCACTTGCTCACCTTAAAGCTAATGGCCTCGAAAATACAATTGCTGAGAATAATACATCTTCATCTCAGCAAAAGGCAAAAGCCATAATTTTCCTTCGCCACCACCTTCATGAAAGTTTAAAATCTGAATATCTATTGGTGGAAGATCCGAAGGAATTATGGGATAATCTCAAAGAGAGATATGGTCATCAACAAAAGGTCTTACTGCCAAAAGCTCAGTATGAATGGATCAATTTAAGATTCCAGGATTTTAAATCCGTTTGTGACTATAATTCTGCTATTTTTAAAGTCACGTCCACATTAAAATTATGTGGACATAATATCACCGATCATGACATGTTGGAGAAAACTTTTTCTACCATGCATATGTCAAATGTGATATTACAGCAACAATACAGAGAAAGGGGCTTTAAAAAGTATTCTGAGTTAATCTCAATATTACTTATTGCTGAGCAGAATAATGAGCTCTTAATGAAAAATCATAACATGAGGCCCACCGGTTGTACCCCTACAAATTTTGGTCATCCTGATCGTGGTTCAGCACCAGAATCAAATGTTATTCAAGGTGGTGCACGCGGACACTTTAAACGTGGACGCGGAAATAACCGCAACAAAGGGCCAAATAGGGGATATAAACATTCAAATGAATCATCCTCCAAGGGAAAAGGAAAATTCAAACCACCACAGGCTAAAACTCATGAAAAGCCAAAACCAAGTGGTGAATGCTACAAATGTGGCATAAAAGGACA